AAAGAGAAATCGATTAAGCGGTGACTGTCTGTCCGTCCGTCCGTCCGTCCGTCCGTCCGTCCGTCTGTGCACACGATAACTCGAGTAAAAATTGAGATATCTTAACGAAACTTGGTACGTGAACTTCCTTTGGGTTTAGGACGGATGGTATTGAAAATGGGCGAAATCGGACAATAACCACGCCTACCTCCCATATAACGGTAATTTTCAGAAATACGAAAACTGCGATATTTTAGTAACTACCGAAGATTATTCACTCAAAATTTATATTTACAACAATTTTTAGACAAAAACTAAGAATATTATAAATTTTTGGAAAATGGGTGTAGCCACGCCCACTTATGGTTACATGTGTACAGCTGCACCAATTTCTTCCAAACTTAGCACAGTTGTTAGTCTTACTACAGCATACAAAATGACCAAAAAGTTTTATAATCGGACAATAACCACGTCTACCTCCCATATAACGGTAATTTGGAGAAATACGAAATCTTAGATAAATCAATAAATATTAAAGCTAATTTACCCAAAATTGATGCTTGCAACAATTATTTACCAGGAAATACGTATATGATAAAGTTTTGGAAAATGGGCGTGGCACCGCCCACTTATGATCACATATATGTATCTCGGTAACCGTTCTACCAATTTGTACCAAACTTGGTATGGTTATTGTGCTTGCTACATAAAAGAAAACCGTTGAAAATTGTTGAAATCGGACTAAAATTATGGCCGCTTTTCATATAACGGTAAATTTCAGAAATGCTTGAAACTGCAATATTTCGAAATTTAAGGACGCTAATTTACTCAAAATTGATACACCCCAGCTTACCATCTAGCGGTAGGTTTCGGAAAGGTGAAAATCATATACTTAGTACCTGCGCCGGGTATTTAATGTTCGGCTCAGCTCGAACTTAGACTTTCTTACTTGTTCTTTTATATCGTTTGCCAATTCGTGAAGTGTTCGAATGGCAAGAAAGGGGGCACAATTTTCGCCAAATGTCACCGTTTTGAGTTTATAGTCACATATTGGACTATTAGGTGAATTTCGAAATATAATGCGCTGAAAGTCTTGATCGTCTTTATGTACGAGTATTTGTCGATACATTTTTTCGACGTCTCCGTTAAATACGTATTTGAACATACGCCACTTTAAAATGAGAAGCATTAAATCGGGTTGTAATGTGGGTCCTGTGTACAAAATGTCATTTAAGGAATTGCCCGAACTTGTACATTTCGAGGCGTTGAAGACTACTCTTACCTTGGTTGTTTTTTTGTCTGGTTTTACAGCCGCATGATGGGGTAGGTAAAATGAGGTGTATTTACCCTTGGTTATGTTCTCATATGGATTTACCTTTTCCATATGATCTAAATCGAGATATTCTTCCAGGACACCATCGTATGCTGATTTAAGCTCGCGTTTTTTAAGTAGGTTTTTTTCCATACTTAAAAACTGCTGAAGCGCAGAGGTTCGGGAGCGACCTAGGGCGAGTGTATCTGGGAATTCTGGCTTAAATAGAAGTCGTACTACATATCGACCAGTTTGTGCTCGCGTTGTTGTGGCTTTGTAGTAATCTTCGCAAGCTTTATCTTCTGGGGTAGTGACTTGTATGGGGGGGAGTTCTTCTAACTCCCAAAATCTTTTTAATTGAGAATTGAGGTATTCGTTTGAAATATCTTCAACTTGAGTTATGAATACCGATATTTTTTCACTTACTTGGCCGCTTAGTATCCATCCAAAGATGGTATTTTGGGCTAACAGGGTATTTGAAATTTTTTCAATGCGTTCTAGCATTATTTGGGGTATTAGGTCGCTGCCTAATATGATATCAACTTGCGCGGGGGTGTGGCAGTTGGGATCCGCTAATTTGAGGTGGGCGAATTTTTGACGATCTTTGTCGTTTATTTTATAGCTTGGAAGCATATTTGTTAGTTGCGGCAGAACTATAGCTTGTGCTTTTATTCTTACGTCCGCATTGGGGGAAATCAGGGTTAATGAGCAGATTTTATTAGAGTTTTGTATTACTCTTCCACCCATTCCCGAAATTTCAAAGTTTGAGTTTGTGGTAGGGAGTTTTAATCGGTTTTGTGCTTTTGATGAGATAAACGATCTATGTGAGCCTTGATCGATTAGAGCTCTAAGCTTAAATAATTCTCCTCGATGTTCAATCGAGACAATCGCGGTTGGCAGTAAAATTTTGCTTTCATTTTCAGAATGAAGCGCTTGTATATTTGCTGTTTTTGAACAGCATGGTTTCTCGGGTTGGATTTCGAGATTTTCGGGCTTTTCGGGTCTAGCTGTTGCAACTAGCCCTGTGGCTCTTTGAGAGTTAGAGCTATTTTGGGGGGTAAAATTATTAATATGGAGCATCGAGTGATGCCGCTTTTGGCAATATACACAATTAAATTTACTCTCACAGTCTTTTTGCGTGTGAGAGTGTGAGAAGCAATTTGTGCAAAGCCTATTATTTCTGACGACATTATATCTTTCGGTCGTCGTAAGTTTTTTAAACTTCTCGCAAGATCTTAATGAGTGACCTCCTTTACAAAATTCGCATGACGTATGTTTATTTTCGTTCATAAATGTTTGCGATCTATTGAAACTTCTATTATGTGAATTGTGATTGCTGGCTTGGGGTTTCATGAAGCTTCTATGTAGATCATTTTGTGTATTTTTGGCTTTTGTAATTTTTGTATCTACCCTCTCTGCGATTTCGTACTGGGTAGTTAGAAAATCTTTCATTTGTTGCCCCGTCGGGCATTTTTTACGGGATGTGAGCGATTGCTCCCATAAAAGTAACGATTTTTCTGGTAAAGTTGCGGCGCAAATATTTCCCAGAATAGGGTCCCAGTTATCTGTGGGAATATTTTGAGTGGATAAGACTGATAGACAGTTTGAGACAGTGGACTGTAATTTAATAAACTCTTCACTCGTTTCTTTTTGAATTTTTGGTAGATTCATTAAAATCGTTACTTGTTTATCGACCAGTACTCTTTCGTTTTCATATCTTTCTTTTAATGCTTCCCAAGCCAGATTGAAATTATCGTCATTTAATGCGAATTGCTTCACTATACTGCCGGCTTGACCTTTAGTCTTGTACCTGAGG